ACCTTAGTGAGTTCAATTATGCTAGGTTTTCCATGTTACCTTAGTTGTCCTAATAGGGCATTGTTAGTGAACGAGGCACTTTAGGAGCTAGTGAGGGCACGAGGCCCGAACATTCATAAGGAGTCAGTTAGCGATGTCAGTTTCATGAGGTCTTTGGGCCTTACGTATGCATGTATAGTTACATTAGTCCAATTCAGGTTGTGAAGATCGTCTAGTGGTATAGAATATTCGAGAACACCAGAAGCAAGTGTGCGAGGTTTTTTTGCAGCTAACTATGTGTCGAGGCCTTAACACTTGCGAGGGGTAAGTTTCCAGGTGTGATGTCCTTACCCGATACACCACAGTAAGTGCATGAGGCATTTTGATGGCTAATTTGGGTACGAGTCCTGACACTCGCGAGGAATGGGTTAGCCGAACATGATATCTGCAATTGCTAGTGTATGATGGCTTTGTGAGACCAGATACTAGTCAGCATTGAATATAGATAGTACACAGTTGAGTTAGAGTTGCATTTAGATAATGCAAAGCAGTGGCAGTCAGTCTGAGTAGAGACCAGATAGAGGCGTGCTCATGAGAGGCTCCTGTCTGAGGACTAAAGGAAGCGTGAGACCTATATTTCAGTGGCACAGCAGTTAAGTTGGTTAGTACCTAATCTTTAGCGCGATTATGTTTATGAGACCCTTAATGTTGCTCTAGATTAGCGATTTTATTGTTGTGCTTTGTAAGCTCAGTCTTCGGATGTTTTCCATTGGTAGGTTAGTAACTTGAGCAATTTTGAGCACTATCGTAGCAAGACTTCTAGTATCTCCTTCAAAGTATTGTATTATGCCTTTAGTGGGCATGTGTATTCATAGAAACTTACTTATGTATTTGAGTTATGAACATCAAGATGTATTATTTTGATTTTTAAATTATGTGTCATGGAGCTCCAGTTTGTAAAATGTTTTAATAACTATTTTATATGTTGTATGATACCATTAAGTATGTTTTAAAAGAAAATTAATAGATTTCAAAATTCAGGGGTTGCCTCAATAGCCCAATCGGGTTTAAGGTGTTATACAGCAAGCATGAGAAGACATAATGCATTGTTTGAAGGATCATGTGACTTCCAAAAGGCTCCTTAACTCCTCATTATGGCCAGCTCCCCTTCAAGAGACATGATGTCTATTCGACCACATATTTGTAATCCTATAAATAACCAAAGACTTGACATTTTGTAAACAACTCATTCTAATCAATCAAAGTATATTTGTGAGGTTTCTCTCTTAATTGTTTTTTCAAGAACTTTATTAAATTATTAAACCTTATGCTTGTGGCATTTTCACCATTTCTTGATACTTGTGGTTCTTAGTTCTCTAACTATATAGTCCAAGTTCTTTCCATTCGATTAATTGTCCTATAAGGTTCGGGTCTATACTCTTTATAATATAAGTCATCCTTAATCCAAGATCACTCTATCTTCATCGCTGCCATATCAAACAAACATTATATATCCTTATAACATCAGCACCATACCTTTTTCATCCTTAAATCATTCCTTAAACATCACCTATTATTCTTCATCGTTCTTATCCCTAAACAATGATCACAACAACAACTTATCCTACCTTAAGCCCCTTTTTTTTGCAGCCTTTTTATATTAGAAAGGTTACTTTACATGCCTCTAATGATCGGAAAACAATCAAGCAGCATTCTTCATCAACATATAAGTGAAGAGGCATCATCATATGGTAATTAGAGCTGTTATGGATGCAAGTAATTGCCTACTTTTGTAAGTCCATTTCGTGCAAAATCAAAAAGAAAAGTGAAAATAAAAGAATTCATCTTCATCTTCATCGAAGGAATTCAAATGTACCCAAAAAAATGAAAAAGCACAACGGGTGAAGGACAATTCAATGCATCAATTGGGCTCAAAGAAGTTCAAGAAGATTGATTGCTACTCGAAGTAAGGTTATAAGTAATCCAAGTTGTGTAAGTTAACCTCTCTTTTGTTTTTTTGCTTATTCTAAGCCTACCTTTATTGCATTATATTTCTTCCTACCCTATCAACACCTTTGTAGCCGATGCCCATAGAACAATTTTGAATATGTTTTGAGTGATTTCTTCAAAGAACTTTACAAGAGAGAATAAAGTGATAAAAGGCAAGAGAGAATGAGTTCAAAGGGGAAAGAAAAAGCCATTACCTCCCAAAGTGCAAACACAAGAGGAGTGGATTGATATCTTTCTTTTTTTTGGAGTGACTAGCGAGGATTTGTGAGTGTGTTGGTAAGGTTCATTTTTTATTATTTTTTCATTAGCTCGAGCATGAAAAATGTTGTGTTGAATATGTTAATCATTAGCTCGAGCATGAAAAACTGTTGTGATCCGATCTCCATACTTTAGCCAAGTAACCGGGGATCTTTGGAACCAATATTGCTTATCCTCGTCTAGCAGTTCTTTTAATTCTCACTTACCCTCATTAAGTATGTAAGTTGTTGTTTGTGATTCTGTCATCTATCAATTTCTCGATTTCAAATTTCAATTACTGGATACATCCAAAGGAGAGCTCTTTTTTGTCCTTTTGCCATACTTTAAATTCGATCATTGTTGGGCATAGGATGATGAGTGTCATATGCGGGTTGATAGTGTTTGGAATGGAACAGGCGGTACAATTCTGGATAAAATAAATTAAACATGGATGCACAAAACAGTCATTAGGGTGCTTATTGAGTTGAGCAGCTAGTTAGCTAGTTAGCAGCTTGATTCGGGTTGAGTTGACTCGAGTTTGAGTTTGAGTTAAGACCTTAAAGAGTTGAGTCAAACAAAGTCAAACTCGATTAGATAAGTTCGCGAGCAACTCATTAATTTTTTTTATAATCTTTTACTAGTTATCTTAAAAAATTATTTTATTAAAAATTACTAATTTATTGATAGATGATAAATGACTAATTTATTAATTTTATAATAAAAATACTAAATACTAAATTAATAATTATTATTTTACAACACCCAAAAATTAAAACTCTAATTATTATTTTAATATATTTGTGATTTTTATTTTGGAGTTTAGACTTTGAATTTGTTTTATACACTCTTTTAATATTTTTTTTGTTAAATTTATCAATTTATGTTTATATTAAGTTTTCTATAGTATTTGTAGGTTTTACCTATAATTAAAAAAAATAAGATAAATTTTTTTAATGAGCTTAATAAGAAACGAGACGAGCAATGAGGCGAGTAACGAGCAACGAGCTTAACGAGCACGAGTCAAGCAACAAATTTTTTTAATCAGCATGAGTCGAACAAAATTTTTAATGAGTAACGAGTTGAATAATAAATTTTTTAACAAGAACAAATCGAACATTGCCTAACTCACGATCAACTCGCTCGATAATAACCCCTATAATCATGTTATAGATATGGTTTAGACCAAGAGCCGGGGCATTTGTTTCGGTCTTGTCGGCTGTTTTTCTCTCTTTTGTAACCTAGTTCTCTTGGAATTCATTTATTCCGAAACAAATCGAATTAAAAAGGAAAAAGAAATAATTATTCAAATCAAATTGATTTTAAATTTATTTTAAGACAAACATAAATAAATAAAGTCTTAAAACTAATAATATTATTTTTGTGAATTTAAATTTGTGTGTTTGCATTCAATTTATGCTTAAAGTTTGATTTTTTTAAGTTGAATAAGAAAAATAGTATAAATCACAAAATCAAACAAAAATTAAGATTTTTATATCATTTAATTTTGAGCTCACTGTTAAAAATTACATAATATGATTCGATTCATTTTTTATCTAAAAACCAAATCAAACTGAACTAAACACACCCCCACCAGAGCAAATTTAGGACGTGGGAACAATCGACGAAATAATAATGCACCAACATTTAAATGCAGAAAAAGAAGGGCGAAAATAGGGTAAGAAAAGATGTGTAATTTTAAAATATTAGAGGTTAAATTTTTATAATTAATATTAAATTGAAAAAAAATATAAAATTTGAGAATTAAATTTATTATTGTATTAATTTTATTAATTGACATATCATCTCCTATCAGATATTTGAGGTAATTAGCAAAAAGATATTTTATAATTGAAAGATTATTTGCTTATCTTATTCTTGAAAAATTAAATGTAAATCTCAAATTTGAAATCGAAGAGCAATAGAGTGTACAAAAAATACAGTGGTAAATGGTGTTAGGTGTAAGAAATAAAGCTAGAAAATGGCCTCCCAACAGCTCCCGTGACCTCATTAATGCCTTCAACTTTACCACATTTGTTTTCTTCTTTAAACACCATGTTAAATGCATCAGTGTGTAGAGATGACTCACCAGCCTTTTCCCAATTTCCTGTCACTAAGCTTTCAAGTTCAATAAGTAGAAATGAGTTGCGTCTCAATTTGAATTTCCCCATTTCTCACTTACCATCGTTTATTGTGCTCTTATAGCCCCCTTTTTCTTGTAACATTCCATCCATGTTCATGTATTTTTACTTCAACTGCAGCAACAAGGAACCGGTTGGATTTTGTTCTTCCTATATCACCTAATAACAAAACTATAAAAGCATAACGAATTCATCACTCAAAAGAAAAGCCTTTATTTTAGTAAATCACATTGTTATTTGATATATTGATTAATTAATCTAGATCGAGTATTGTAGAGACTTGTTATGGGGACGAGTTTTCTAATTCAATATGCTCCATTTACAACGCCATTCAAATCCCCGACTTTACTTATTGATCTATTGATAGACTAATCTAAGAATATTGCGGAGACTTATTATTAGGCGTCCTTCTAATTTAGTATAATCCTAATGTCAAGATTCAAACTACTAACTTTACTTAAAGGATCTAGTGTCTTAACCACGTGAACATATTATTAATAAAGCATTTGGGTCTTTAATATTAGATTACAGGTCGCATTCGGTATTAAAGGAAGGTTAAAGAAAGAGATTCTAGGTCCATGCCATTGTTTTGGTTAGCCTAAGATCTGAAGCTACTCAACTACCCCTTGATTGCATTTGAAAAAAGAAGGAAAAAAGATCTAATAACGAAACCAGAAATGTAAGCTTATTTTGCTATGTTTTCTGCTCTGTAAGAAGTTGAACAACAAAAATAAATGATAACAATTTGGACATGCCAAATAACAAAAGATTTTTTTTCAATGTACCAAGTTTTCCCCTCTTCTTCCTGGTGTTTTCCAGCTACAAGATGATCAATGTAGGAGAGAAAAAAAACTAGACCTTTGGTGTAAAGCAAGGATTAAATAACAGTTTGGATTTTACAACCTCCATACTTGCAGTGATTGCAATAGCATCTGTTAATGTTGCAATAGTGATAAACGTAACTGAAAACGCGATCAAAACCGCAGTTTAAGTCCCTGGTGTAAAGGATGAGTGAACAACCTTGTTTTGTCTCCCAGCTAGGCAAAGCAAAGTCCTCCTTGAAAAAGATGGTGTTTTAGCTTGTGAATCTAAGCTATAACAGCTCTGGTTTTCCTCGTCGGCACCGAATTCACTGACGCTATTTCCGCACCGGCCGGAATCTATCTCGGAAATAGTATCCTTCCCACCACCGGCAACACTTTTCACCTTCAAACTATCGTCATCATCGGAGACGGCGGCATTCTGATGCACCGGAAAACGGAATGAAAAAGCCCTCCTCGATGAACCATGAGTAAGGTTCTGCTTGTCCTTCCCCCGAAGCCAAATCTTCGATATCGAGAAGCTTTCCTTCTTCTTGATGGCCTTACCATTGTTCTCACCTTCAAAGTTTCTCGTGAGCACAAATCTCGTCGATTCACAGTCGCATTCGGAAATCGCCGGCCGGTGACCGGGTGTCAATGGCAAACAAGTCTTCTTCTTGCTCGATGGTTTCTTCATCGGAGTTCTTATGGGGACTCGCAATAAAGAGCTCTCATCCATTACGTAATCATAGGATCCCATTGAGAAACATCTTCTTTCATCAACGTTGCCATTACTACTACCTTCACCACCATCAATGTTCCTGTACTTCCCTAGCCTAACAGGCACCACTTTTTCCCCAGAATCCATTTCTACTGTTTGGTTATTGACTTCACTATTTCCCACGATTTCACATGATTTACGCTGGGAAAAAGACGACCCAAGTTCAGTCTCGAGATGGGAATTTGATCTCACAATCTCTCTCGAGCTCTCACTCCCAGATTCAAGCACAATAACAATTGGGGAACATGTAGGGGAGAAATCTGGGATTAATGTAGCTCTACACAAAGGGCATGTTGAATGGGACAAGAGCCAAGTATCAATACACTCCATGTGGAACGCATGGCTGCATTTTGGGAGCAATCTGATCTTGTCTTCATGCTCGAATTCACATAAACAAACAGCACAATCGAATGGATTCTTCACACCAATGATGGCTTTGTAGTGAAACAAAGGGAGAGTATCTATGAAAGATTGGTCAAGGCCTGCATCATGGAGATGGAACAGTTGCTGCAACTGCCCTTGAAGAGCAGTCACACTGTCTGTGTCTTCTGGATCTCTACTGGGAGGTCTCATGAGAAATCTAACCAGAAGATGAAGCAAACCAGAAACGAAGAAGATGATGGCTAGGATGATGATGATGAGCAGTATACTGGGACTGACCTTGTTGTTCAAATTGAAGCTATAGGACTGCATATTTTGTGGCGGTGGCAGTAATGGGATTGGCGATTGGGGGAGGTCATACGGCTGCTCCGACGGAGAAAGCAACATTCTTTGCTTCGTTTCTGGATACAAACTCAATTTAGAATTGGATCAAATGAAAGCAAAGATCCCATCTGGAACTCAACTAAAAGTGAAGAAGCTTGGTATCAATGGAGTTTTACTGCATCACAAGAGATTCAAAGAGAGAGAGAGAGAGAAGAGTTGAAAATGATATTAAAGGGTGTCACTGCCAGAAGGTGAATTTCGAAGAGGAGCAGCCAATAATAAATCTACCCAACGCAACAGTGCAGAGAAAATAAATGAGATTATATCCAATTACAACACTCTTCTTCAGGGTTGACCTGAAGCATCCAAGTCCCAAATTTTACTGGCGTAATGAAAAATTAACCCCCAAAGTTTACTCAAATGATTACTTTGGTCTTATTCTTTTTAAGAACATTTTAATCTCCAAAGTTCTAATTTTTTGTTAAAATAGCCAACATTGAATGAAAATTGTTAATTGACTAATGACCAACACATATTCATATGTATTTAATCGGTGACGTGGTACATATCACAATATTACTTTAGGTGATGTGGCACGTATTACATCACCAATTAAACACATAAGAAAATATCATGTTAGTAACATGTGTGAATTGTTAGTCAACTAACATTTTCATCCAATAAAAAATATTTCGACCAAAATATCAAATGTTGTGAGATTAAAATGTTCCAAAAAATTAAAATTAAAATTATTATTTGTACAAAAGTTTGATACTAATTTTATCTTTATATATTTTTAATTCCGTAAAAGATAAGTGCATGCTGAAGGGGGGAACTAAATCCCTAAATAGAAAAGAACAAAACAATTACCTATTTCTTGTATTCGGTGGGTTAGGAAATTGGATTATCTTTTAGCACTGTTACGGTAGCATTGTTTGTTTCTTTCTGGTCCCAATCTTGGACAGGTCCTTCTATTCTACTGACATTTTGGTACCTGATTTATATATTAATTAATGGGGAAGGGTCTCTCTTTTGGGGTAAAGACAAAAATCAAAAGACGAAGGCAAGTGAGCTTTCCCAAGCCTACCATAGAGGGTATTTGAAAAGGGTCAAATTATGGATTGGTACCCATAAATCTGATAACTTTTTCCCTTCCCTTTGAACCAATTGTTATGGGTTCTTTTGGTACTTGATGTCCAAAAAGTGAAACACAGACAGCCATCTTAGGAGGAAGGATGAATCATCTTGTGCGTTTGTAAAAGGAAACATGTTGGAGAAAAAGGAATAGAAATCAACCATGGGATATTAACAGCTAAAGGTTAAATTATCTTTCCTTATCCACGTTTCTACTTTAGTTGCTCCCTCGTATGCAGGTGTATATTGGGCAACCACTCAGTCCCAAGTATATTTGTAATTATTTCCTTGAGAACAATTGTAATTTTAATATTTAATTATATATGTAGACATTTATTTTCGTTCATATTTATTTTATTTTCTTTTTTTTTATACATATATATATATCTATACATATATATTATATAGTTCGCAAAATGGATTTTGAAAAATACATATATAATATAAGATTTTTTAAAAAACATTTTGAAAATGTATATAATATATAGTTTTAAAAAAATACCTTTGAAAACTATATAATATATAATTTTTAAAACATTTTTAGAAAGCATATATAATATATAATTTTTAAAACCATTTTGAAAGCTTATATAAAATATAGTTTTAAGATCATTTTTGTTGAGTTAATCGATTGACGGAATCGGCTAAGAGGGGGTGAATTGAGAATTAAAATTTTGGTGGAAGCTTTTCCAGAAAATTGAAAATAATTGCACAGCGATTTAGAGTGGCTCGACTTTCTTAACCAAAGTCTACATCCACTACCTTAGCTATCCACACTAAGGATTTTCCAACAAATTCACTAATTTGTTCTTTCTTTTGAGGACAAAGAGTAACCTTACAACTCCCTCAAGAATTATACCCCAATTCTTGAGCACTCTCTTTTTCAAAGAGAAATACACAAATTTACAAACTTACAAGGAAAACCTCACAAGGCAATATGTTTGCACAATTATAGAGCAAGATAAGAACACTCAAAGATAATTACAATTGAGCACAAATTGTGTTCTTGAAAGCAAAATAAATATTGAAAGGAATTTTGGCTTGAATTGCACAAACTTGATGTTTGGTGCTTTCTCTCTTGTTTCTCAATGATTTCTTATTTCTTGTTATTGATCAATGGCTTCAGAACTTGTTTAAATACTCCTTCAAATGATTCTGAACGTTGGGGATGCTTAGTGAAGTCAATAGAGCCGTTTAAGTGTGAAATCAATTAATAAATTCAGTTGGGAGCGTCAGTGCATCGATGCATACCCATGGTGCATCGGTGCATCAGTGTAAAATTCAAATATTTTAACCGTTGGACCCTTAGTGCATCGGTGCACTAAGAGTGCATCAAGTGCATTCGATGTTTCAAAATAGCCAGAGTGCATCGATGCATGGCTGGTGCATCAATGCATCAAATGCATTCGATGTTTTCATAAAATCCTCAGTGCATCGGTGCATGGTATGTGCATCGATGCATGAAATGCATTCGATGTTCAATTTAATTCATGGTGCATCGATGTATCACTCTGAAAAATTGATTTTAGGCTTGATTTTGGTTCAAAATACTTTGTGAAAATTGTTTCAAAAATATATTAAGTATAAAACACAATTTTACACATTTAGTAAGGTTTTGAAATTGATCTTAAAAGACTTGGAGTAATAATTTGATATTCGATTAATTGAATCGAATATACTTAGAAAATCATTTGTAAAATCTTAAAATTCATTTAAACTAATTTGTTATATCGAAACATCAAAATGTTTTCAACAATCTCCCCCTTTTTGATATAACAAAACATTTGTGTTATTTTAAGATTTTCTAAAATTTTGAATTGAAAAATTACTTCCCCTTACTACAACACTTCTCCCCTTTAACACTTTTACACTTCTCCCCCCTTTTTGTTAAATCAAAATGATTTTAAAACGTTTTTAAACAAGGTTTTGAAAAGCATAGCCAATTGATTATAAGTAAATATAACTTAAGCTGCTAAGATCACAATCAAAAGAGATATTAGCCATTAGTTCCATAATCAATATTTATAATCAAATATGAAATGGTATAATTGGTCATATATGTCTAACGATGCAAAAATAAGAAAATTCAACCAAACCAAATATATATATATAAAATTCAAAATCCAATTATCCAAACCAGAACAAATTCAAACATTTAACAAACCAAAACAAATAATCCAGAAACATCAAAACAATCCAAGATTGAAATACTAAGAAAGCATGGAGAAAAAAAGGTCTAATCCTTCGGAGGATCGGGAGGAGGAGGATAATGAGCTCGAACTTCAAGAGTGAGCGCGTCCATACGTTCACGTATCTCCCGCTGAAACTCAGTAATCTGAGACTCCATGGAGGCAAACCTCATATCAAACGACTACAAGAAGGATCGAAAATATGGTGGCATTTGATCTTCTTGTCGTGTTGGTTCCGGTGCAGACTCATCGTCTGGAACGTGATCGTCGATATCTTGCATAAGTTGATGAAACTTAGGATCATCGTCAGCAGCTGGTGCCGTAGGAGGAGGAGGAGCACGAGAAGAGCTAGGAGCATCTTGTGTAGAGCTAGGAGCAGCTCGTGAAGAGCCAGCTCCCGGGGTTTGCTTACCGGGTCGAAATACCCAAAGACCAGTTTCCTCGTCTTGCTTCCAATCCGCTTTCTTCAAGGAAGTAAGATTGATTTGATTTTGGAGTGGGATAGGATTGTCGAGAGAGACGTCTAGACCAAGTTTGATAAAGAGGTTACTAAGAAGACATCCATAAATCAATGTTTCAACATGTTTTGAAGAAACAATGTTTATGATGTCCACTAGTTGACTGAATATAATGTGGGGCAGATTTATTTTGATTTTATTTTTAATACAATACATCCACCATAAATCCCTAGCACGAAGTGTGGAGTACCTACCACTGGATGGTCTAAACCACCAAGAGATCATCAAATGGAGAAAACGATCGTGATGAGATCGTAGAGTACTAACACTGGAGTTTGGAACATAAGGATATTCCACATTTTCACTCTCATTATATATACCACTATCATCTAACCCAAATCGGAAAGCTATAGTCTCGGGGTCAATATTAATATATTGGCCTAAAAGATAAGATCTAATGGTTATAGTTCCACATTGAGTTTCATTTTGAATACACACCGCATTGGAATAGAAAATGCGGACCAATTGTTGATAGATGATAGGTTTAAGCTGAAACAATTTATCAAACTTCCAAGCTTTAAGAATTGGAAGGTATTCGAAGTCAATATCAACCATGGCTTGAAGCGAAAGAATATGCTCTTCACGGATTCTATAAGTTTGGAAAGAATTTCTGTACCTAGAGTACAATTCATCTCTACGACGCTCAGGCATGTTAAAGCATGATTCTAATAGGCTATTAGGAGGTTGAGGAACGAGATTAGGAGGTTGGTTTAAACGAGAATGACTCGAGGAAGTTTTAGGGCGTTTGGGATTAGACATAGTTTAGGAATCAGAATAAGAAATATAACCTGCAAATTGAAACACATGTATGCAATTTAATCAATCCCAAAACTCAATTGAGTCCGCAATAATTCAAGGTTCTCTAAACCAAATTCTAATGGGCATAGTTTTTGAAAAACTATTTAGAAAACAACGTTTGAAAATTATAATATGTATAGTTTTTCATGAAGACAACATAATTAAATCAAAAACATCAAATTTAAAAACTAAATTCAGATTTTCAATTTTTTTTTAATTTCGAAAATTCAAAAATTTATTGAAAATTTATGAGTTTTTGATGAAATTGGTTGTAAAATTTAATTTATAATCATCAAACAATCAATGTCCGATATAATGTTCATCCTAGAACTAACCTAAACTAGTCCTAAGATCAAAAATCAATGAAATAGATGTTTTTGAAATATTACCTTGAAAATTTCGGATTGATGAGAATGAGATGTTGTTTTGCACGAATTGATAATAGAAGCAGGATAAGGAATTGAAAATCTTGAAGATTCCGATCAAAAACCAAGGATTTGGAGAAATTTTGATAGTGAAGAGAGAAAGAAGAGCGGCCCAAGAGAGAGTTTTAAGAGAGTTTTGAGAAAATGAGGAAGAAATAGGGTTT